CCAGTAAAATTAATTCATAAATAAACAATTGCTGTGCAGCAGACATAACTCTTTACGTACCGTTAATGATTTTCCCTTCTAACTGTGCTGGACTCGCCTTTTTAGCAAACTGTAAGGACAAGTCTCATTAATATCCCTAATGCTAATCGCCTGGAGCTGGTCATACTGCATTGGCTAAGCCTTGTGTTTACAAGGCTTACCATTTGCCCACTATCGCAAGCCTAGTTCCCTTCTCTAAACCTAAAAGAAACCACCTCTCCCTACTTGAATCTAGGAATACTAGTATTTTTAGTTAATTAAGCAATGGAAACTGTTCCTTAATCTCTATCCCAATAACTCACTCTATATAGCATTAAAGAGACATTCGACAAAATTGAAGGTAAGGAGGCCCTGGTCTTGCCATCCATTTAAGTAAGTTGGAGTGCGTTTTCAACCTGAAAGTATAGATGGATGGAAAACAGCTCTTTAACTAAAAACTTATACTCAACCCAGCCCATTAAGGTAGTTGAATAATAAATGTAATTATAAATGTAAGCGTCAATCGACGAATCCTCAGTGAACTATCCAGGTTTACCTGGAAGTCACCAGCTGAACTCACCGTGCATATGTTTTTTCATATTAGTGGAACATTAAAAAATTCATGACTTCCCCATAAAACATAGAGTGATATCTGTAGATGATGGTACGAGTCAGATATTTTAACTGGATGGCAGATGTATAACTTAGAAAAGCCATTAATTTTTATCGCACACAAACCAGCAAACTGCATGAAAACTAAGTCTAGAAAGATACGTGTGATATTTTTTGGAATTAGGCTGACGCTGTTACAGCCGCTTCACATTTGCGTATGGTTCCTGTCAGAAATGCTCGTAAGCACTCTGGACCCCATTCAGAATAACCATTGTACTCCAATGCACAATGTTTATCAGGAGTTCCAGTAGTTGAAAATCTATTTAGCCGGTGAAAAGCACTTCAGTCTGTTGCAGATCTAAAATACAAGAGGTACGATGCAACTATTCAACAGGCCTCGAAAATACCCATCACAGAAACCCGAAGAGCAATTGGTGAGCATACGTATACTTTCAATAAATTCTCGTCAGGCCATTACATTTATATGGGAGGGGGGGGGTGAAGTGTAAAAGGTTGAAATTATGTTCAAAGTTACAAGCGAATTAGTCCAGGGGATAGGGGAGGGGGTTGAGGTATAACAAGCGGCTAATTAAGCGGCAATTAGGTAGAGGGAGGGGAAAGGGAGAGAGGAGACTCGGAAAACTGCCGGTAGCTAGCTATTCAACAGGCGTCTTACAAAAGTGATCTAATACCTGAATTATTGCCTAATCAATTAATAGTAGGGTCTTGCATCTGGCAAACACCAGCTACAATCAGTTTAGAATTACTCATTCCAACGCTTATGGTTTTCATTCATGAAAGGAACATTCATCATGTTTTGATTCATTTAAAGTAGATTCAAGGGCACGTCGAGAGAGGGTTTCGTATTGGCTGTGGTTTCATCTGAAGCACAACAAAGTCTGTCGGACCTGAATGACGTAATTAATACATAATTACTGATAGTACTGCTGGCAAAGAAAAAGGGGACTCGAAAAACCATTTCTGGCTAATTAGCAATCGTCAGCCAATCATACCTAATCGCAGGTGGTGTACCACTCATGGCCTTTTGAACAGAATTCTAACGATCATTTGGCCACAGGCTTCTTGTCTTGCCGGTTTAGATCGGAAGATATTGACACTCGTTAATGCACGTTCACCGATCGCTAACAGATTTCACTCGTCCCGCTATGCTTTGGGTCCCCGTTCTCGGGCCCTGACAGGAGCCGCACAGTCTGCCTGGACTACTAGCGGCTGTGTGGCTGCGGTTGGGGGCCAGAGAAATGAGATCCAAGGCAGGCGGGACGAGTGGGTTTCGTTCATCAACGAGTTAATCACTTTCCTCCTGTACGTTTAGGGCTGTTGCTGTGGGCATTGAATGATATGGCAGTGTATTCTAATTTTATTTAGTGATTGGTGGAGGTAAGAGTTCCAAAGTTAGGTTTCTCATCAGAACTGATTCCATCCCTGGCTTGCACTTCATCAGCTCAGTGAAGGATGTTGTTAAGCCTGCTTGATTTTTTGGTTAGTTTTTCGCGGTGCTATGTTTGCCAACATTTATGAATTACCTTTTGACCTTGTCCTGGTTTTTTTATGCACAGAAATAGCACAGGATTTTCTAGCCTGCAAGAAGGTCTAAATACCTGTTAACACAGTTGACAGCTGAATATCATGCCTCAAGTGTCATAGGTTCCGCTTTCGAGGAATACGCTCGACGTAATATGCTCATTCTTTGAACGCAGACCTCATGATCACTATCTCTGATGTGGTTTGCATGCCATAAGTTTGGGTCTAGCCTTTTAGCAGCCAGTTTAAGCTCGTTTCCCCGACGTAGTTGCAGTACCCATCATTACGGCATATTAAGTAGACAACAACAGGGATTTCACTTGTATGCAGTCTCTCCTTAGAATGCATCAGATTTTGACAAATTGGCTCCTGGGGTTAATTGGTTATGCTTACTCCGAAGGGTCGTAACAGCCGGGGATACGCTTCGGAGACATTTAATGTACAGAGTAACACTCTAGAATTTGAGTTGCCATTAAATTAGCCATTATCTGATCTGTTTGTTACAAGGGCGTGGGTATCCATTAGCTCAGAACAGGCCATGAAGGCAGTTTTGTTCAATGTTATGTTAGCTGGCGTGCCTCAATGCGTCTCAGCTCCTTCTTATATGGTATAGGCGCAGCTACCTTTGTGAGAGGTGAGGTACTTGTGGTTGAAGTCTAGTATTTGCTTTGCGTTGCCGACTTTTCTGAATACTATAGTTCGCAGGAGTCTGGTTGTACAGCGGCGCATAAGGACATGGAGGAAGTGACGATGGTTTTTCGTTTCAGCATCTAAACAAGTAATCTTAATAAATATGACCAACTAATCACAACGGAGTCTCCGAATTCCTGTCACTTCGGTTTACCAGTGTCATGGCATTATATGCACAGAGTTGGATAACAATGAAAATCGATAGTGGCGATTTTCGAGGCCTCGATAAATTAAAACTTATTTTTGATTAAGTTCTGCGAATATTTCCATGTTTAATCTGAAAATTCAATTTGGCAAACATGTGTTTTCAGCAACTCTCCATCAAGCCAGTACAACTGCAGGAATACTGACATTCGTACAGTTAGAGAGGGTTAACAAGTGTCAGTTGATTACAACTCATCCTTTTCACGCCGCCCGCATGGTAAGAGCGACGTGTTAAAGGGCCAGGCGCTTTGGGGGACTAATATGGGAGAAAATTATGATAGATGGTGAGCATTGGTCACGGGTTAGGTACGTGGGGTGAGAATTAATGTCATTTGCACGGGGTGAACGACTGTCACTAGGGGCAGGGGTGATATGCAATCAATACCTGGCGTCGGCGTCGGCCACGGAAGTGAAAGTGTTTGTTTTAGTGTCTTCTGACAGAATAGCACTGGATTCTCTAGCCCTATTGCCACTGCCCTGGCTGTTGCTAGCACCCGCTGTCGCAGGCCCTTGAAGAAGTTGGCTGGTGTCCGGTAAACAACCTACAATAATTCATTATTATGGACTCGGGGATTCTTATCGACAAGCTTCGCGAGAATAAAACTCCAGATTGATCTAATTTCGCCTTTACTTAACCAGGCCGGTATGTGTGCAAGTATCCTTTTTTCCAGGCATCTCGTTGTTAGGAACTGTGTCCTGTTCTATAGAAATAAATGCGCATGGATGTGAACTACACCAGGAGCCAGTCTTTACCTCCTAATCGTCGGAAACGCTAAGGCGGCATGTAGAACATTACCTTGAGATGTTTAACGTCTGAATTCTGGAATTTCAGTGGAACCTCTGTCAGAGGGCAGCGGTCCTCCACCGTCTTGAAAATCTCGAAAGGGTGGCGTTTGAAGACAGTCAGAAAGATAAGAATCAAGACCAGTTGGACCAAATACCTTCGAACTTTCCAGCGATTAAAAGCGCCGACAACCCTCCCAAGAAACCCGGAGCGGTATGTGCATATCTATACTTCAAGACGCCCTGACAAACCCCTACTACCCCTAGGCACTATGTTCTGCATTGCACGGAAAATGTCGAAGCAACTACAGTAAAACCGAATTTGAGAGCCTCTTTAGCCAGACCGTTGATTTAAAATCTACCTTACCTGGCGAGTTTATTATCTCAAGTTAACACTGGTTAACTGCCACCAGAAGTATCTAAGAAAGGCTCCAAGATGCAAAGGTCCCTTAACACAGCTCTATCTTAGTAGCCTAAAGGGACTTTGCCAAAATGAAAACATCGTGCTGACCAGACCTGACAAATGGTCCGAAATAGTACTGATGGGTAAGAAGGATTATGTCGCCAAATTAAAAGCTATCCTAAAAGGCCGTACCAAGGTCTCAAAATCCAGCAATGACAAATATCTCACAGAGATTGTCGTGGTCAACTGAATGCAATTCTCCAACAGCTCCAAAAGGAAATTATTTGTCTGACAAAGAGCTCGAAAGACTGCGACCTCTAGGCACGAAAATACCCAGAATATATGGTCTTCCCAACATACGCAAACAGGGGTAGCCCTGCGTCCAACCTTGGAAATGAGAAACTCATCTTTCCACGCCATAGCTAAATAACTGGTAGAGAAGCTGAAGCCGCATTAAATTTGCCTTTATCATCAAAGATGGACAGACACGTTTTTTTCTGTCAATGTTATAAAGTATATGAACGTTTGTGGAAAAAAAGATGCACTCATTGGATGGATCATCATTTTTACTAACGTGCCCGTGGTAAAAACTATAAATTACTTCTGTGACGTTTGAGGTCACCTGAACTACTAGATAGGTATACCCGTGAAAACCCTTAAAGACCTACTAACGTGGTCCATACAAACTTCGAATTTCCTCTGCAATGTGCGATTCTACAGACAGATCGATGGTTTGACGATGAGCTCACTAATTGGCACGTTTTGCGCAAAGGTATTTTTGAGAAAGATCGAGAAAACGAGTCTTAGTGACACTATCAATGACCTCAAATTTTACGGTCGATACGTGGATGACATCGTCTGTCTGAGAGATCATGAAATTGGCACCGACACCGTGGTAAAGAAGTTTAACAGCATAAATCCTTCGCTCAGGTTTTCTGCGGATGTTGACGTAGTCAACGAAATAACGTTCCTTGATATCCTTCCCCGAAAGCAAAAGGATGGATTTATCCTGCGTAAGGTACTCCAAAAGAAAACCTGAACAGTACGAGACATGGACTTTCGTGGTTTTGTTCCCCTCAATATAAAATGGAGTATACTCCATGGAATAGCAATTAGAGTGCGACCAGTCTGCTGTCCTGAAACCATCAA